AAGACCAGAAGGAAGTAGTTTATTTAATCCAGCAAATGAAGACAGAGAGGACAGTGCTGTCTGCCAGTTAGTTAGGGTGGGGAAGGGAGAGAACTAAACACTCTGCAGAGAAGCAGAGCTGTTTAAGCTAAAGGATAGTGTTGGCACAAGAACAAATGAATATAAATTGCCTATGAATAAATCGAAGCTAGAAATTAGTTGTTAACCAGCAGAGGAGTGAGTTCCTAGAAGAGCCTTCCACTGGGAGCAGAGGGAGCTGATCACCAGTGTACTTAGAAGATGAAGCTTGCTCTGTTTGTGACTAGGATTATGTGTAGTGGGGTTTGCCATAGCAGGGGGATGGGCCTGATGACCAAGAAACCCCCTCCTGTTTTTAACTGTATGTGGACTTAAGGACAAACCTATATTCCCTATGCAAAGCACAGAAATAAGAGTGTTCCCTGCAGGACTTGCAGGTCAAGGGCAGCTAATCACCTTCCAGACTAGCTTCAGAGCTATGCAGTCTGTTACTGCCGGACACAGTCTCCGCACATTTCCTCTCTGCAGCCTGTGTGCTCCTCAACTCTATCATGCAGCTGTGGGATGAGCTATGTTTAGCAGCCGCTCCACTGCAATGCCTCTTTGCCTTTTGCACTTTGTCTCCTATGCATCAAATCCCACGACTCTGCTGGTTTGAGGGACTTTCTGTGGTGAGGGGGGAGATTTGTGCTAGAAGATGGCTTAAACACTGCTTCTGCTTGATATTAGTAATGAGATTTAGTGGGAATATATTTAGCACCTCCTTTTAAATTTTTTAAAATACAGGGAAATAACTGTGAGAAGATAAAAGTCTGAAATTTTCATTGTATAACTGAAATTAAATCAAATTTTTGCAATGTGGATATGCATTTCACTCTGCCTCTAACTTACCACATTATACCAATACAGCATGGTCTCTTCCCAGTTTTCTCCCAGGTTACTCTAGGGTAGAGTGTTTAGGTTAGAAAGCATAATTGGGAGATTTTCCCAATGTATTCTGCTCTAGCCACCAAATAACACCTTGCTTTCAGATGCAAACTCAGTTGCAGTGACAGTCTCTTTCTGTTGTTCGTAACTTTTTCCACTGGTATAGAGAGGTTTTCCTCCTGCTGTTTGACAACTGTGAGAGCATATTTGGCCTTTGTTTATGTATTGAATAATGAGTACCAAGCAGTTAGCTAGGTTATGCTTAGATTCTCCTTTCTTCTAAAAACACACTTGAAAGAGGGAAATGGAACACTATCCTGGCTCCAGTGTCACCTCACCTCATCTGCTGTAATACGAAATTACACATACAGTGGATATGGATTATATGACAACATGCATGATTTGAGGTGTTCCCTTTTTCAGTAGTATTTCTTACCATGTAAGTATTTATGCTTCTGGGATACTGTGGTTTGAGCTTCCCATTATCTCTGTTTTTTGAACTTGCCTAGTAGAGTTGACAAGCAAACTTCAGCCTTGACTTCAATTAGTTTGGTAGGGGCTTACGTTCTAGAATTGAAATCCATCTCAGAGCTTCCTCCTTCAAAGCCAGGTCTTTCTGAGACCAAAATCACTATTTAGGTCAGTTCCCTCTGTTCATTTTAGGGTATTTTGGAGCTGGATGATAATAACATTTTTTAAAGAAAAGAATATGAGCCAGGAGAAACCGAGGTTTGGTAATGAGCATTGAAGTGGCATGAAAGTGACTGATAGTCTGCAAATGACCCCTGTTTAGCAGCTTTTTGGAGCTGTGTGCAATGGGAAATAGCTTGTAGAATTCCAGCTTTTAATGGGGGCTCTTTTTCAGGTCAGAAATTCTTAATAAGACAGAGCTGGTGCTTCAGAGCCTTGTGTTAGCAAACCTGACACTAGGGAGTAATATCATTGGCTTTCATGCGCCTATTTACTGTAATAAGGATTACGAACGTAAGTAAAACTTGCAGGTTTGGGCCCACAAAATTAAAAGAAAAGCCTTTTCACACCCTGAAACTGCATCAAAATTCAATTTCACCAGGAAAAAAAATCCTTCTGATCTAGTCCCTGGAATGTGACATTTCATGGGTGTAATAAGGTTACAAACAGATTATAAATTGAAACCCTCTAAATCCTTATTGTACTGTACCAAAGCTTCTGCTTTGCATAATACTCTTATTCCTGACTGTTCTTTGTTTTACAAGCTCAAAACTGTTCATTCCCTCTTATAATAGAGACCAGGGAGCCAAAAACACTGTACAAAATCCAAAGGTAATTATCTGAGTCAAAGAACGTGAATGCCAGAGTTCACAAACTTCTGAACTTTTCTAATTGTTGTTGTTTGCACAAAAAGACCTCCCTCTTCCTTTAAATATGTCACAAATACTGTACATTCCTTCTGCCAAATTATAATGGTAAAAAATCCCAGTGTAGATTTAGTTTCTGGTTTGTATTTGTGTAGTTCTGCCTACGTGTCCATAGCCAATGACTGATAAGTTTTCACATCATAACTTAGGCGAGTGAGGGTGTTCGAATCTGACCCTATATGCTCAGGATTACAAATACTGTAAATTACCGTACCTGAGAGCGCTGCTAGTTTCTGCAGTTGGCCTCTTGTGCTGATTTTATGTCTAGCAAGTGTCTTCCATACCAGCCTTTCAATATTTGGGCCCATTTCTAGGTCTGCTTAAGTATCACCCCTCTGCAAAAAGCAATTGAGCTTGTTACCTGAGAGCTAAATAAACTACCCATGTTAGCAGATCATGGGCTCATTTCTTCCAGGCTTCCCCTAAAGGTGAGGATCCTCAGAGGGGTTGAATGAGAATGAGATGGATTTGCAGGTGAGATCTCAGGGGCCACTTGGAGCATCAAAGCAGTGAGGAAAAACAGCACAAAGAGGGGTTTGATTGTAGAAAGAGCAGAGGGAGTAGGAAAGGATTAACAGGATAAGAGAGCAGGGCAAATGAGTATGGAGGGACACAGTTGTGAAAGACCAGAGCGTTATCGCAAGATACTTGGCAGGTGAGACAGTGGAGTGATGGAGAGAGGCAAATGATCAAGTCACCACTGTTGGCCAGCTTTGTCAGCTGCTGGAGTGGGGAGGAAGTGAGGAAAGGAGTTTTATGCCCATGAGAAAGGTCAGCTGCTAAAGACTAGAGGTCTGGAGGGCAAGGAACAAGATCATTTTCAAGGACAAAAGAAAAACCGTCCTATAAAGAATTTCTCTGAAAGAACCTCCATGGTGCCTGAGTGTCCACACAGCAGGAGGTAAAAGGAGGTGCTGTTCTGAACTGATTGAACCAGCTTTGAGGGTTTTGTATCAAATAGAAAGCCTGTGTCACACACTCAGTTTCATCCCTCTTGTGGCTGTGTTGGTTTAACCAAGTAATACACAGTCCCTAATGTTTACGGAGAGATTTGGTCAAGAATTACGTGAATGCATTGAGTTTTGTCCTCTTACTTCTTTCTCTTTCAAGAAAAGAGTGCACATTAACATCATTGTACTCTTTTGATGCCATTTCACAGCGCAGGGCATGTGTGTGCTTCTGGTACAGCCTTGTGTAGTATGAATGGATGAGAGATCTGCACTTGAAACATAAACTCCTGCACATTACAGGTTGTATTTTGTCCAGTACATCTGCTCTATTCATGCATTCTGCGCCCCATCACAACTTTTCAGAAATGACAATAAAGTTTCAGAAAAAGAAAAAGAGCTGTCATCTTTTATGGGCAATGTACTTCTATTTGCCATGGCAATGGTGCATAATTATGAACATAAGTGATTTTATTTGGTTTTCTGATTGATTTCAAGACTTTAGAGAAGATTCAGATTTTCTTCTTTGTGTTCCATGAGTTACTGAGATTCCGTAGGGCTGGAATTTTCTGTGAACCCATTATGGAATAGATACAGATTTCATCCCTATGCTGTAATCAAATATAAACTCTGGAAGGATTTTGTCTAGTACTTTAATGGGAATAAGCTCATTCGCTGAGAAATGCGGCCATCTAGTGGCACAGAGAGGAAGTATGGTAGAGGGGAAGGGTTTCTCCAAGAGTCCGGGAGGATGAGTCAGGTAGTTCCTACTGGAAAAAAACTGTGGAAGTCCTGGTGTAGTTTTCTTTTTTGTTGTTTTCTGAAGCTGTGCAAAAAAAGTTTAAACAGTCAAACCTTTTAAAAAACCAAACCAGTTTTGAGGCTGGCCCTGCTTCATCTGACTGGTTCTTCTCAGAAATACAGTCAGAGTGAACTAAATCCATATTCAAATGCTCTCCTGAACTGGATCTGACTGAAAGGAGAAGAGCAAACTACTTCTATGGAAGAGTACAAGGTACAGAGCCCTGTCCTGCCTCTGGATACATTCATGTGGATGACATTGGCCGCAGTAAGACGGCTGTCCCTCCCTGAGACTTTCAGAGATAGACTTGGCAATAGCAAAAGCTGGCTTGATATGTGCTTTGGTGCTCAGAGCTTCTTTTCACAGTGTGTAGGAGTTTGTTTTCCCTGCCACAATCTGTACATTAACCCAATACATTTACTGAAAGAAAATATGGGTAAAGGAGGGTGAGTTAAAATTTTGGGTGGAAACTTGGTTTAGCAGTTCTGCTGATTTTTCAAGTTGGAGGATGTGGTTTTAGAGGCCTGATTTTGAAAACCTGGTTTATGTTGAAGGGCTCTTAAGTAAGGCTTCCCTGCTCTAAGAAAACAGTACTCAATATGAGTCGCTCAAGTGGAACCGTGCATAAGATTATCTAAGATCCATTTATCAACCTGTATCCCTGAGGCCCCATCCAAAGCCTCTTGATGTCAGTAGGAACAGATTCATGGGCCTTAGCAGACTTCCAGTGGTATCTATAATTTGAACCCTGTGATCACTTGGGAGTGCAGATGACCTTCTTACTCTTTTAGTGCTGCAGGGTCCTGGTTCACACCTGAGTATCCAGTGCTCTTCCAATGTAAAGTTACAGTAAGGCTGCTGCTGCTGTTACATTTCTGTTAAACTGTAATATCATTTTTACCCAAACAGCACATCAACAATGACCATATACACGGGGAGAAGAAGGAGTTTGTGTGCCGATGGCTGGACTGTTCCCGGGAGCAGAAACCATTCAAAGCCCAGTATATGCTGGTGGTCCACATGAGGAGACATACAGGGGAAAAGCCACACAAATGCACTGTGAGTAAATGGTCTGAGCTCTAGGCTTGGACAGGGGAGCTGGGGCTGTGCAGAGAACAGAGCAGTACAGGTAATGCACTCCCTGAACTCTTGTCTGTCAGGCACCTGTGGGGAAGAGACTACCATATCTGCTTCATCATCTGACAAGAACTTGAGGAGGGAGGGATTCACTGGATAATTTGGCCCACTTCCTCAAGTTTAAAGTACAAAGAAGCCCTAAAAGGCATTATGAAATACAGTTCAGTTTACATAATTATTTAAAATCCCTTTCTCCTAAAGAGCTGGATATTATTGCTGGCCACCAGCCTCCTAATGACTTTGCAGTGGATTTCTGTCTTAGTACACAAATACTGTGCTCTCCTGCAAGAGAAGTTTTACATAATGTTGAAAGCATTTTAACTTGAGCTGTGGCAGAGTTTACCTGAGTAAATTAAAATCTGCCAAATCAAAACTACATTGGACAAGGTTATGAAGGCTTGAAAAGTTTCTAAACCTGTACAAGTCAGATTTTACCATTTCCTGCAAGTCCAGAATTAAAAATTAATCCAGATTTATTTCTTGTATGCAGTTTGAAGGTTGTACAAAGGCCTACTCCAGACTAGAAAACTTGAAAACGCACTTGAGATCTCACACTGGAGAGAAACCGTATGTGTGCGAACACGAAGGCTGCAACAAAGCTTTCTCCAATGCATCCGACAGGGCCAAGCACCAAAACAGGACTCATTCCAATGAGGTAAGTAAGCACAACTCCAAAATGTTAATAATAAGATTTGTCAGTGAAGAGACTTACAGTGTGGTCATAGCAAGGTATTGCAGAGGACAGGTATAGAAACCCTCATCAACCTGAAAGGAATGTAAGTTCTAGATGGCTCTTAGCAGCACAATGTGTCATACACACCTGGAGAGGCCATGGGTCATTTTTATAAGTGCCTCTGTGGGTGGTGACACCAGACGTCTGCTGGGATGCAGCTTCCCCAGCATCTCACAGCATCCTATGGGCTGCTCCACAGTCATGTTCTCCAAGTGTTTGGAAAGTTGAGTTGCCCTATAAATTCTGACTTCTACCTTTTCCTTTTCTCTGGGCTCTTTCACTCTCTTTTTCCATCCTGATGGACTGGAATGCAGTACAGGGAATTTGGTCTTTCTAAAACAAACCAGCTGTGGCAGTCACAGCTGTTTCCCAAGCTCTCGGTGTAACACCTCTTTAATATCGTGTGTTTCCTGTTAACTGCTGGCTCCTCTTTCAGGAGTCACACCATCTTCTTGCATTGTCCCTGTTTTATTGCCCCATTTCAGGTTACAGAAGGAGCCACATCATCTCAACATCCCATCTCAGAACTCAGTCTCTCCTCCTTGACCTGTCCCTATACTGCTTCACTTCTAGCCTAAATCTAGGAGTATTGGGAGGGCAGGACATACAATAGCAGCTATATCCATTTCCAAAAGGCTTGTATCCTTCCCTGGCTGTCTGTCAGTTCTGTCACAGGCAGGCACTAGGGCTGGCAGATCTCCTGAGAGCATTCATCTTCTTCCAGTCCCTTGGTCCCTGCAGCATCTTTTCAGTCACAAGGGAAGCAGAGAGCATTGCACATTTCTGAGTTTGCCCCGTCTCTGCCCTGTGTGCTCTCAGCAGCCCAACTAACAACTGCACTGAAGACCTGCAGTGATTTTGCAAATTGTCACCAAGGTGCAAGGTGTCACCAAGGAAGCTCATCAAGTCTTACCAGTAGCTGACTGAGCTTTTTTTTTCATTCACTCTGAACCAGTCTGTGCATTGCCTAGTTGATGAGTCAGATCTTCTCAAACTTAACAGTGTGACCTGTACTGCCTCTGTTTTAAGATCAGAATTTCGTGTCTAACAGTTATCATCATGGCTAGGCTTTGCGAACGAAGATTTGGGAAGGCTCTATCCACATTTGCTACAGGCACGCTGGTGGCTTATGAGGCCAATACGTGACAGACATATCCGATTGCAAAAGACACAGCAGAAAGACTCTTTAGATGGTATATTCTGCAAAACACGGTTCTTTCTGCGTTGCCTTTTCTCCTCGAGAGTGATCCTGCGTGTGTTCTCGAAGGAGACAACTGCGTTATAGATGGTGTGTCTCCAGGCCTCCCGATTGGAGGCCAGAGTAGACCAGTTATGGTGATCAATATGGCCAAGGCTGAGATGTTGTTTCAGGGAGTCCTTGTATCTTTTCTTTGGGGCTCCTCTCATGCGGCAGCCAGTAAGTCACCAAGAAATATTTTATTCTGCACATCATTTCTGGTAGGTGCACCCACATTTCCTTCACCGTTACTTCACACTGAAACAGGCTAATCTTCTAGGGCAATGTGTACTGGTGGAGTGCCATGAATACCATGAAAAGCACAGACCAAATTTCAGCACTTGCTTGCAGTGCCATTTTGGTTGTATGTAGGTAATACAGAGAGCTTTAAAAACAGCTGACGTATCTTGATATGCCTTGCACATGTAGAAGAGCGCTAAGTGACTTGTACTTCTGTAGCATCTTGCAAAAACCTGCCTCAGTAGTCAGCATCAACTTTAAATTGTTCATTTTTGCTCCTATTCAAGTCAATGGGAGGTTTTTTTCCACTGATGTCAGTGGAAGCAGGCTTAGATGGCTATGAAGATGGCTATTTGTCAAAGACTCCACAGTGCCATGTATAAGCAGACAGAAAACTGCTTTGAGGAACTCTGCATGAGAGTCTTTTTTATATCTTGAGGGCTAGTATGAAAAAACTTTAAAATAGTAGTTTCTTGGAAACAATTCAGTAATAAAAGTGAGTGAACAATACTTTGCTTCCTGAGGCAATTAAAGGATTTAGGAAGTGCTCAACTCTTCTTTCTAATCCTCTCATAATACAAGAACAAAGGCTTTGTTAAATTATAACACAGTGAATTTACTTTATTCTACATTGCTTAGTGAAGTATAGAAATTCACAGACAAAGGATATGGTTTTTAATAAAAACGAGTGATCAGTTATGCTAGTAGCAGTGATAGTACTAGTGCAACATATGCTAGTAGTAGTACTAGTGCATATATTGCAGCAAAGTGAAAATGCTCGTGTTACTTATCTTATACTTTGGCTTCATATTGATTATCTGAAGGAGCTAGGAAAAAAATGCTTCCTCAGTAAATTCTGCCTGAAAAATGTCCCAGCATCTTTTGAAGGGGGCTATTTGCCTCTGAATGTCAAGTAGTAGGTACTAGGCATACTAGAAACGCTATCAAACTGCTGAGGGCAATGGACAGCAAAAGAAAATTGGTCCAGTTTTCATAAATTGCCATAGCTATGTTGACTCTTCTGTTAAGCTAAGCGAAAGCTTTGCCAGTTTGTATCAGAGAGACTCTGTCCTCTGTCAACTATGCAGCATTAATGGGTACCTTCTAAATCAAGGGAAATTAATTGGTTTCACTACGTGCAGTCACAATTTGATAGGACAAGGGGTAATGGCTTTAAACTAGAAGAGCATAGATTTAGACTAGACATAACTAAAAAAGAAATTTCTTACTGTGGGAGTAGTGAAGCAGTGGCACTGGTTACCCTGAGAAGCTGTGGATACCTCATCCCTGGAAGTGTTCCAGGTCAGGTTTGAATGTGGCTTTGAGCAACCTGGTATAGTGCAAGGTATCCCTGCCCATGACAGGAGGGTTGGAACTAGAAGATCTCTAAGGTCCCTTCCAGCCCAAACCATTCTATGATTAGGTCACTGTAGAGACCATAAATTAGGTAACAGATTCCCTGTGAAAGTGTATAACTTTAACATCAGCTGCGCTCCAAGGAGTTTTCAGGAGTCTCACATGGAATTAAATTTAATTTAAGTGTTTTTCATGTCTTGTCAGAAACCATATGTTTGCAAGATACCAGGCTGCACAAAGCGCTACACAGACCCCAGTTCTCTCCGGAAACACGTGAAGACCGTGCATGGCCCAGAGGCACACGTCACCAAGAAGCAGCGGGGAGATATCCACCCACGGCCTCCGCCACCAAGAGACCCAGGGAGCCACTCTCAGACCCGGTCACCAGGCCATCAGACTCAGGGTGCAATTGGTGAGCAGAAGGACCTCAGCAACACTACCTCAAAGCGTGAAGAATGCCTCCAAGTGAAAGCGGTCAAGTCAGAAAAACCAATGGTATGCAATACACCGTGCCACTCCCTTTGCCGTTTTTCTTCTTGCAACCAGTTAATAGCCCCTTTATGAAATGCTCAAGCCTGTAAACTCTGGCTCACAAGGCTAGGTTTTGTGAGGTTTTCTTTTTTGTTTACATTGTAAAATGTTTTGAAAGCCTAAGAAATAGCGAATAAAAAGATTACATCTAGTTTGTGCAGTATGCAGTATGTGCAGTGTTGGCAACTCTCACAATAATTGTTTCTCTTATAAAGCTCCATCTTCTGGAATAAGCATAGTATGAGAAAATCACATTTTTCATTTTTAAAAAAGCATTTTTTCCACTCTTCTGTTTACAGAAGAAAGAAGGCAAATGTGAATCTTGCAGGGTCAAAGCCAGAATGAAAAAGAAAACAAACCCCAAAAAATCCAAAAGACTAAAATGATGATATTTATGATGATAATTTATGGAAAACCTGGGGAAGCAATCAGATTTTATAATCAGGGCTTGAGGTTGTTCAGTCATAGATCAAACTGAAGCAGGATAAATTGGCTTTCTTAAACAGCAGGAGGGCATTTCTGGATAACATTTGATCTCTGTTGTGATGTGACCCTTTCTGTTAATCTGATACTTAATTTAACCAAATTAACCTAATCCAAGTTTAACTAAAGTTGAATTAAGAATGTCTGCAGGTCTCCTCTGGTTTACCTTAACATATTGCACTAAACTGTTGCAAGGACCATATTCCATTTGTTTAGATGCTGTCTTAAATGTAGAAGTTTTTCCATTTGCCTGCATTTCATGTGCCTACTGCCCTCTTTACAAGGGTTAATACTCTCAAAGACAGTCACTCCATCCTCTTCTCCATCTGGGTCTACGATTCATCTGTATCCAACCCTTGGGGAGTACAAATACGAGCCCAAATTCTGCTCATACTGTTAATCACGCTGCAATTCAAAATGATTACTCATTGAAATATGAGTTACTGCTATGTTATGCCTAAGGCTTATGCCCAAACTGTTCAGTATTAATCCTGAATTCAGAAACTTCCAAGGGCCCAGAGTTAACTCCTGCTTAACTCTGCCATCTTTGATGATAACTCCCTTAGATTACAAAATCCATTCCTCTTTTGCTTAGCTAGGTAAATGTCTAGCATTATTGAGGCGTGTTGCACATACACAGTTTTAGCATGAATAAAATTAACGGGAGAGTTACTAATGCCGATAGCTTACGTATTATTAAATATTTCTCACTGAAAATTATATTTTAAAAATAATTCTGTATTTCTTGCTTTTCATTGTGTATATGAATTAAGATATATTTTCTGGTTTTCAACTAATCCAATGTCTTTTCTGTCTAATGCTCTTAAATGTCTTATTCTAACTTCCTAAGGACAGTGGGTAATAAGGTGAGGGCATTTTAACTTTTCTGCTGTTTTTCTTATTGCAACATTATTTATGTTTTTAGTTTAGCCTTCTGCCTGTTGTTCAATCATTCCTTTATTTAGTAATGTGCAATCCATCAAGCGCATTCCCAATTGAAATGTCCTGTGAGCATTTTGCAACACTTGACATCTGAAAAATCTGGCTTATGTTGGTGAAATGTCTTCAGAAATATCTTTGTACCTTCCCTTCTAGATGAGACATCCTTTTTTGTTTTTCTGTATTGCACATCTAGAAATGCATGTTCCCCATAATACAGCTCTTATTTCTGTACCCTACTTCACTATGATCTTGACATGTGGCTACAAGAACAGGCTTCTGACCACTGTTACTGTTCTGCCATATGGCATGGAGCTATTGTCCAGAAGCACAAACTTTCTTCTGTATAGTGACTGTGTTTTCTGTTCTTGTCACCAAATCTGCTATGGGCAGGATTTGGAAATGAACTTGCTCAGTGTGGCCTCATAAATTCTAAGTATCATCGTTCAAGTTAGAAATAATAAAATGGTTATTGCATCTGAATGGACTCCTCAGGGGCATATGAAGCTACAGTAGTGCCATGAATCTTCATTCACTGATGTTAAAAGTGAGAGCCATCACTGCTGCTTCAGAAATTCTAGCTAGCATTTGTCAGTAAAATGTGCATAAAAATCATGACGTGGCAGAAAAAAATTAAAAACCCACATCAGAAACCCTAAAAGTTAAATACTTACATGAAACTGTTCTTGGGAGCAAGATGATACTGCATACCCCACTAATCTGTGATCACACTGATAGAACCTTACAAGGAGATATTAAGTCCAGAGACTTCTGTCTGTCTTTTCTGTGTTTTGTCTGTCAGTTTGTCAATTTTCCCATTCTTTTATGAGAACTTTATAAAAAGTAAATCTAGCCCGTGTTTCCCCACAGCAAGAGTTCTTCTAGAGCAGCAGGGAACACTGTTAAGAAAGAAGGCATATTGTGGCGGATTAGCAGCCTGTACTGTCTACTTAAATTCTTGCATTTAAAATCTTAAATTCTAATGAAACAAAGATTTGATTCAGTAGATCAGCTTTCTTGATTCAGGGCAGAGGTGGTGTAAGTTAGGTATAAGAGGAGGTATAAGTTAGGCCTGAGTTCTGCTAGGGTCATGAGATGCTGAGAATATGATACAGTATTATTTACACTGATGCTTTGTCCCTGTTTTATCACATGCCAACATTTCAGGCCAACCACTGCGTGTAACAATGAGCCTTAAGCCTGGAAAATACTTACATTCTTTGGCCACAAGTCTAATTAAAAGAAAAAACCAAATTCCAGTGTTGTTGGAGTCTTGTTTGTTTGTTTGCTTGCAAGCCTAGCAGTGTAAATTAAGACCTCATAACATGTCTGAGTTCTGGTCTGGTTTATTGAGCTGCAGCTTCAGTCAGGAACAGCACATACCCAAAGTAGAGTATCTATCCATATGTGCTCATGAATGACAAGAAATGATAGAAGCAGCTATGGGAATAATTCAGATAAGTTCTCATGGAGATACAATTTATGCTATCAGCAAAGTATTAAAGGGGATTTTAGTCTGTGTTTTGCAGTGCCATTCACTGCAGTTAAAATCAATATGTAGAAAACCTCTTTAAGAACAACCACTGTTACCATTTAATGCTAAAGTTTTCTGTGTATTTAGTTTTCTTTGGCTCCATTTAGACCTCACTTAGTGCAAGTGCTCTGGTTAACAGTTTGCATAATCCTCACTTCCGTTTGTTTCTTACTTCTCTCCAACAGACATCTCAGCCAAGCCCTGGTGGTCAGTCTACATGCAGCAGCGAACAGTCCCCCATCAGCAACTATTCCAACAATGGGATCGAGCTTACTCTGACCGGTGGTGGTAGTGTAGGAGACCTCAGTGTCATCGATGAAACCCCAATCATGGACTCTACCATTTCCACAGCCACCACAGCACTTGGCTTACAGGCCAGGAGGAATATGACAGGGACCAAATGGATGGAGCAAGTGAAATTAGAAAGGTTGAAACAAGTTAATGGAATGCTTCCAAGACTGAACCCCGTTCCACCTTCCAAAGCCCCAACCTTGCCGCCTCTCATAGGAAATGGTGAGATACACATAAGAGGAGTGCTAATACTTTTTGTCCTTAAATTTCTTGCTTACTAGCTCAATCTTGCAACCTTGCAAGAGTTGCACAGTTTAGGAAGCTCATCAGCTGTGAAATGGTTTGTAAATTGATCACTTTCTGTTTATCTCCTGATTGCAAGTCCTGCTACCTGCCCTGAGAGAAGTCTGATAGTCCCATGTTTTACAGAACGGGAGTTAGCAAGGGAGTCACTCATCACATTTTAAGTATTCCTATGTTCCCTACAGTTAAAGGTTTAGACCCAAGGTCATCATAATCCTGTGCTGTTTTGAGGCAAGGTAGACAAAACAAATACTGGCCAATTTATTGTGCAGAAGTCTTTCCATTGAGGCCTGTGCAAGTCACCCTTTGCAGAGAAGTGTTGGGCTTCCCTTTAAGTAACCTGTTCTGATACATAGAAGAAATCATATATATAGATACTACTGTACATATGCTACTACAGATACTACTGCTACAAAGGGCAGATATCCATGAATGGGAGCAAGGCAAGATTGAACTCTGAAGACCCATAGTTGTTTTTTTACAGAGAGCTGCTCATGGCCAAAACGGATGTCCCTGCTGCCTCTACATTGCCTACAGTATGCCCGTAGGTTTCTGCACTCCACCCAGCAGTGACAGCCCATATTTTCTGAGATGCATTCAATCGAAAAAAGCTATGTAAAATTGAGAAATGTATTCTGTTTACTTAAAAACAAAACAAAACAAGGAAACCAGCAAAGATGTTTTGCAGTTGTTAGGAGTTATTTCAAGAATATTTCAAGAAGTCTTAGGAATGACCTTGAATAGCCTCCAATTTTTGTATTTTGACATTCCATGCAAATGCCTGTTTAATTATATTTTGCCTATAAAAAGCTCCCTTAAAAATGTGTCCTTCTGGCACATCAGTCAGCATAGCTGCACTGCAGGCTGGAGCACTCCACCAGCTGATGACAGTTTGTGGCTATGGCCTATAAATTTTATTCTGTTACCCTTGAGTCTCTGAATTAGCTTTTAACCTAAAGATACACTTTTTATCCCTACTTCTTTCAAGAAGGAACACTGCTATGATTTGCTGTGATGATGCAGGCTCTTCCTCTATACTGCACTTACTTCTTTACTGGCTGTTTTCTGTACCAGTTTCTGGGTAATGCCCATTTGTTTAACTGTGAATTTTACCTCCAGGTACCCAGTCGAACAGCAGCTGCAGTGTAGGAGGATCCATGACTATTCTGCCAAACAGGAATGAACTTTCAAGTACGGACATCACTGTGTTGAATATGCTGAACAGGAGGGACAGCAATACTAGCACAATCAGTTCAGCCTACCTGAGCAGCCGCAGGTCCTCTGGAATCTCACCTTGCTTCTCTAGCCGGAGGTCCAGCGATGCCTCACAGGCAGAGGGAAGACCGCAGAACGTGAGCGTTGCAGACTCCTATGACCCCATCTCGACGGATGCCTCCCGGCGCTCCAGTGAAGCTAGCCAGTGTGATGACCTGCCAAGTCTTCTCAGCCTCACCCCAGCCCAGCAATACAGGCTGAAAGCTAAATATGCAGCAGCTACTGGTGGACCCCCACCAACTCCACTGCCTAACATGGAGAGGATGAGCCTCAAAACAAGGATGGCACTCTTGGGTGACTGCAAGGAGTCAGGATTATCTCCTCTGCCTCCAGTGAATGCCCCTAGAAGATGTAGTGATGGTGGGGCAAATGGTTACAGCAGGAGGCATTTTCTGTCTCAAGATGCTTTAGGAAATGGCACAAGGAGAGCCAGTGATCCAGTAAGAATGGCCTCCGACAACCTCTCTGTCCCTAGAGTCCAGCGTTTCAACAGTCTTAATAGCTTTAACCCTCCTACTTTGCCTCCATCCGTGGAAAAGCGCAACCTTGTTCTTCAGAACTATACCCGTTCTGAAGGGGGTGTCTTCCGTGGCTTCAACTCCCCCTGTCCTCCAAGCATCAGCGAGAACGTCGCCCTGGAGGCTGCTACGATGGAAGCAGGTGGCAGTCTGAATGATGAGGATCTCCTGCCAGATGATGTGGTTCAGTATCTGAATTCCCAGAACCAGGGCACGTACGACCACCTGTTGAACAATGTCCTAGACAGCAACAAAATGCATCACAGCTCAGTTTTAGGAAACAACAACCCCAGTAACTTTGACCAAGCCGCTCCACCAAGCAGTCAGCAGGGAGGTCCCGAGGCAAATAAGAGCGACTTGCCCATTCAGTGGAATGAAGTAAGCTCAGGAAGTTCTGACTTATCTCCTTCAAAGCTGAAATGCAGTCAGCGGTCAGCAGTGCAGCAGGCTCGGGCCTTCAGACTGTATAACAATATGATGGTTCAGCAGCAGAACCTGGAGAGAAGCAACATGGCCCAGCAGAATGGCTATCAGAACCTGGTGGAGAACAATAGTTCCTGCAGTTTACAGCAAAACATGGTTCTTGGCAGCGTAGCTGGTAATTCTTTCAGCGTGCAGTCCAATAAGCCTTACAGTGAAAGCATTAGCAGGCAAACAATGATGTCTGGGGCAACAGACAATTCCTGTGGCATGGCAGTACAAGGGCAGAAGCTGAGAATCAGTAACATGCCAGTGAGTGGGAACCAGCAGAATTTCAGCCATCCCATGGCATCTAGTGATCAAGCCACCAATATGGCAAATGGGATGCAGAACAGGAATATGATGGAACAGGAATATTTGCAAAACCAACCAGTTGGAGATGGTGTTCATTACCAGGGAGTCAATCAATCCGGTCAAATGATGCTAGGGCAGGTTAGTCCTACCTCACAAAGCAGCCTGTATCAAGGATCGCAGAGTTGTCCACCAGTGTCTCACACCATTGGTAGCCAGCCTTCAACTTTGCCAGTGGCCAAAAGTTACCAGTCATGCACTAATTACAGCAGCAACAGACGGCAAAATGTATTGAGAAACAACCTGTCACAACAGCAAGGACACATAAGTGATGGCAACCAGACATACAGGGTAAACACCATTAAGATGGAGATGCAAGGTCAGTCACAGCAGTTCTGCTCTAACGTGCAGAATTACTCTGGTCAGTTGTATGACCAAACCACAGGCTTTAGCCACCAAGCTATGAAAACAGGTTCTTTCTTTGGTTCGGAAGCTAACTGCCTGCTACAGGGGATTGCAACTGAAAACTCATCTGAGCTTCTTTCCCCAGGGGCTAACCAAGTGTCAAGCACAGTTGACAGCATTGACAGCAACAGCCTAGAGGGTGTGCAAATTGATTTTGATGCTATCATAGATGATGGGGACCATGTCAGCTTAATTTCGGAAGCGCTGAGCCCAAGTATCATTCAAGATGTCTCCCGCAATTCCTCACGCCTCACCACTCCCCGAGCATCTCTTACATTCCCAGCTATGCCTGTAAGCACAACCAACATGGCTATTGGGGACATGAGCTCTTTGTTGACCTCGCTTGCAGAAGAAAGCAAGTTTCTTGCTGTTATGCAATAGACATGAAAAACAAAAAACCCTTAGGAGATAACAGATGGAAAAAAAAAAGACTCGTATTTTTTAGTTGTGTATGTATTTTAGCAATCTCATCTCACCTAAATGGGATGTGTTTCAAGTATATTCCTTTTATGGAATAAGGACTCTGAAAACCCTAAAGTGTTCTAGGGAGAAACTGTCTTCCATTTCAGTTTTGAATCAGTATTGCTACACCCATTCCCTCCCTTTCTCTCTTTTCTCGCTTTCTCTCTCCCTTTTTGAATGTCTGTATGCTTCCTTTTTTTCTTTTGTTTTTTAATTGTAAACCAATGTAAACGTGTGAAGTGCATGTTTTTTGTTTTGTTTTGGGTTTTTTTGTAAAAAAAGGTCTGATGAAATGACTTGGCAATTTTCTATTACTCAAACGAAGCTAGACCTTGTAAAACTGTTGCAACTTTTCCTCTTAAACATATAGGCACAAAATAACCAGGCATAATGTGAAGTGAGCAGGCAGGGATGAAATCCTCTCTGGATGCACTGTATACATCACACTGAGGTGGACAACCAGTTTAGAAATGCACTGCCATGCACCCTAGGCTGCAGTTTTAGAGTCATGGAGCACAAGAAGTTGGGAGGTTCAAGCAAATAAGAAATCTAAAACCATCAGCCCTTTGATCCCTAGCAAATGTTTTAAGGTTTTTGTAAACATACACACAGATAGATGTCACTGCCTTGAATAATGATATGAGATTGTGTCGTGTTTGACCTATTTCAGAGGAAGGAGAGAACCAGAAAGCTATTTTTAGTCCAACTTTCATCTTTTGCAGTATTTGGTATTCTGTTTTTCAGCTTTCTTTTTTAAATGACTGGATGATAAAGCGATGGGTATGTTTGGTGACTTGTATAATCTATAATCCTCTCATTGCATACCACATTTGTGGAGATACAATCAGGGTCATATGGAGTATTTCATACAATGAAATAACAAAATAGCAGTATTCCATACTGGGGACATTTTTTTTAATGCAAATTGTTGAGATGTAATTTGCTGAGCCAGTGGTTCTTATTCACAGTAACAATTCCTTTGCCAGGAGAAATGTGTCGTACATCCCTTTTAGCAAATACAGCTTCATGGATGGATCATATGTTTTAAAATAAGTAAATGCCCATTGACAAAACGCACAGTTACAGCTTCAAAAGCATCATGGTCGTGTCATGCAGAACAAGTAGAAAACAAATGGCTAACCCAGTTCTCAGACTAGCCAAATAAATCAAAGCAATTGCAAGCAATCTGATAATCTTAAGTGTTTTTCCACTGTGTCCAGGCTTTAAAAAATTAAGAAATTTAAACTATCATTAAAAATAGCAGAGGAATAAGGGGAACGGCAAAAATTCATAGATGACAGAATATTCGGAGTTGGAAGGGACCCACAAGGACCATCAAATCCAGCTCCCAAGTGAATGACTCGTACAGGGATGCAACCCAAGGCCTTGGTGCTGTTAGCATCGTGCTCTAACCAAAGAAAGATCAAGCCAATCTCTCTCTCTCTCGGTGACACCACATGCATTTAATTTCAAAACAAACCAGTGGGTCAATGCCCAGGCTCAGTTGCACAAGCAAAAAATTGAAACCAATGCACTGTGGTCGTGAAGCTGCTCACTGGTAGAGGTGAATGGCATTTGCTCTGTGAGCACTAGCTCTTCCAGCATGTTTTTGGCTGTGCTGGGCTCCATGTCTGCACCCCTGAACGCACAGTGCTCCTGAGTAAACAGGTTGGGGTGGGAAACAGTCACAAGACCAAGGTTTATGTTCACTCACTCCTAGAAGCTGTGTGTAGGTCCAACCCTTGCAGACTTCTTAGTTAAATCCTGATAGGAAAGTGCAGCTATGGGATGTAAATGGTCCAGGCACTTACAGTCATAGATTTGATGTCTGTAAGGAGCTGGTGTTATAGTAGATACACAGTGGGAAGGAGGAGTGTGGTTGATTTTGAAATACAGATAAACTTTAGCCCAGTCAATATTAGAAATAGCACCAGAAGGTGATTTCTATAGGCTAGAAAGCCATAGCACTTCTTTTGAACTGTAAAAAAAAACGTGAAATACCATCTGATTCAGAGCATGGCATTTGAGAAAATGTGTAGGAATGGAACCTCTGTGAAGCTGTCAGATAACACTGATCTGTTAACAGCTGTTAGAGTCAGAGGACAAAGCTGTAAATCAGTAGGAAAATATCATAGAAGTCCAGCGCTGGGGCCGTATTTGGGCTTATCACAGCACATACCAAGTGATTTGCAGTGTGAGCTGCGATGTCAGAAATCAAGACAAATGTAAATATCCTACACCTTTTGTCATCATCCAGCTCCTGTCTTTCTCTGTATCTTTAGCCAGCATTTCTTTCTCCCTGACTCATGCACATATATTCCCCTGTTCTGCACTTTACCCTTTGCCAGTTCCCCTTCCAGCGTCCCTGCCCCTGACTAACTATCACAGCCCTCCTGCAGTGATCCCTGGGCTGCAGTGGCAGTTGGGCACAGTTTACCATGGCAAATGATGGGTTTGCTGTTGCAGCATGACAAAGCTGCTCCCTGTTGCGCTCTCATTGTACAGAGGTAGCCCTGTAGAGACCTGCTGCCTGTACACAACTCTTGCCCCTGCCCTGGTGCTGGGGCATGAAGGGATGCATGAAGGGCTGTGCTGGACATGTTTCAGATGCTTCCTGGTAACCAATCACTGACTGTTTATTAAGCCGTCAAGTACGTGTTTATAAACAATTTCAACAAGGAGACTTATGACCAGCTTGGGAGTAGGTGGCTTGGGAGAGAATCCTTTTATTGTTATAGAGCCAATACATTTTTAAAAAAAATAACCATCCCCAACTATTTTTTTAAACTCAATTTTCCAGTTCATAATTGTATTTGCTGGTGCAATTGATGCTGGGAAGCTATTAACAGATGTGATCCATCAGAGCTTAGAAGGAGCCATTCATATTGCTCAAGGCTAAAAGGGACTGTTTGAGTAGCTAATTTGCCTTCCTGGATTTGACAAACCTTTATCACTCACTTAGCCCTGTCTTGGGCCAACAGTGTGTCTCGGCAGAAACCACATGCTCCAAAAAGGCATCCTGTTTGATTTGGCAAAGGTGAAGAACCAGAGACTCCACTGTGTCCCTGGGGAATTTATACAAATGGTTTGTCATTTTCACCATTAAGCATATGTTCCACTTGTGTTCATGTATCACTTTTCAGTTTTTAGTATTGTCTCACGCTTTTCTGGTTTATGCTAAAGGACCTGTTTTGGTACCTGTGAGGGTAGCAATACATCATAGCCCAGCTATCTTGGGGTTTGGTTCTGTTTTGATGAGGTAGACTGGTCTCTCTGAGCATGGGTCTGTTATGTTGGACACCAGCTTTCACTTGTCAACCTCCTTCTCGGTGTATGGCAGTCTGGGGAAAGTCCCACCAGCATTGGTGGGACATGTTTACTGGTACCCTTCTACAACTGCTCTTCGTTACAGAGTCAAAGCTTGCTTTTGTTTATCTGGCACATCAGTTGATTTTTGTCATAGCTGTTGGAAACCCACCGTTCATCTGAGTGTACTAGAAGATGCACAAAAAAAATCATGAATTTTCTATTTTTAAAGTATTGCAGCCTGAGTCTAAAATCACCTTTACTTCTAATGGCTCTGAGAGGCTCTTCCATATTCACTACTTTTGGCCTTGGAAGCATCAGTAACACTCAGCGTGCCTGAAGCATGTGTATTTCTCTGGGCAGTTTTACTTTCCATGAAGTGGAAGTAGCCAGTGAGAGTTTATCCATCAGTTACACCCAGGTGAAGGAAAGGTGTGTTTGCAGGGAAGTCAGTGAGCTTCCACAGGGCCTTTGCTGGTGAGTAGAATGGCCGAGTACATGCACATGACAGATGACGTTATTCTCTCCTGGGAGAATGGCCCCAAATGGTGCGTGCATTAAGATGCCGGCTGGCTGCTCATTTCCAGTCATTGCTTCCCCCCGCCTCGATGAAATGGCTGGTCAGCTCACCCATGCCTGTTCTGCAGTGGCTCATCCTTCTGAACAGCAGTGTTTATATTCTCGCAATATATGTGCCTTATTTTGCGTTGACCTTGTAAAACAGAGGGACCAGGATGTGTTGCCAAATTTTCCTGATGAGGCTGTACTTGCCATTCAGTTAATAGCACATACCACTGTTGATAGTGTCTAAAATGTCTTGTAAACCTCTGGTATTCACGTGTAATTGTCCTTGGATTGGTGGAATGTCTCCTATGGAACAGTCACTGTTGTCAGTCCTGCAGATGTGTAAGATAAAAATGTGTTCTTTTTTTTTTTCCAATTTTTAAAATTTTTTTTTATAAAGCTTGTAATCCTTTTTTACAAAAAAAAAAAAAAGAAAAAAGAAAAGAGAATGTGTAAATACATTTATGTATGGTAGGAATAGTGTTCAGCTGTAACAGGCCTTAGTGGTCTTCATTTGATAAACCTGCAGTTATGATCTGATGTTTCTCAAGCCTTAGGTTGATCTGAAGGGTCTGTAGCACTGTGTACATATGAACTGTACTTCTGCTTTCAGAACCACTTAGCTTTTTTGTAACAAAGAAAAAATGTTTCTTACAATGTCAATAAAAACAAAAGCCTTTGTACTTAAGTTCTTAGCTTTCAACTATTAAAATATCTCCTTGGGGGAGGGAGTTATTTTTTCATCCATCTGAAGAGCCTGGTTGCAATCAGCACGAGTTGCTTTACTCATAGCTGCTCGCTTTTCTCTTTCTGCTTCCCAGCCTGTTGCTTCCCGTCATTCTCAGTTTAAATACAGGTTGGAAAACAAAACGGGGCATTTGCCTTCCCTCTAGAGAAAAGTGGCTGAGGGATGCTGGGTAATAAAATGAAAAATGAAAATGCAGTGTCACACAGATAAAATGTTTGAAAGGAGGAGGGAGACAGACCTGGTTAACTCTGCTGCACAAGCAGCCGCTTCCGAGGTCAAAGCTAAGCCGTGCTAGATTCTGGGCTGTTCTATGGAGGCTGTGTTTTCATCCTTCGCTTGCCAAGGGTCTCTCACAAAGGCTTGCCTACCCATGAAGAAGCATGGGAAGGAGGAAGAGGAGCTCCTCTGACTGGATTAGCCAGTAGATGTCTGCTCAGGTGGGTTATTGTGTGATCTGCAAAAGACCTAGATGCAGTCATCTTCAAAGCTGGACATACTCAGTGAGTGCTCCTGTCAAGTACAGCAGTGATAGGTGACATCAAGTTAGTTGTAGTAAATAGTATAAAAGAAGTTGTAATATTATGGTGTCTGGGCTGTTCTCATTTCAAGGCCTTTTGTTTCCATTGCTGGTACCTCACAGATCACCACTCTGTTGAGCTGTGAGTGCTCAGCTTCTGTCTTAAGTCCTTCCTGAGCCTAAACAGATGAGCCATTTCCTAGGCCAAGGGAGGTATTTGCTTATCCTAACTTCTTTTGTTGTGTTGGGGTTTTTTGTTGGGTTTTGTTTTTTACCTTCAGCCATTATTAAACTGTTGTCATTAGACTTTAAGGTTTGGAAGGGGAAGAGGTGAAGCATGCCCAGCTGAGAAGCCCACGAGGCAGGAGGAGAGCCCTTGGAGTGGTCTGGTAGGGGTCAAGAAGACCCTGCAGTAGGACAGGGATCTTGATGGTGGCCATGGCGCCTTAGTTTATGTTCTGCAATCCAAAATCCTCCCAGACTGTGGCAGTGCTCCAGCATCTGCTCATGTTGTGGGATGGGGGCATGTGACACTGACTTCCCAACTTATACCAACAGGAGGTCAGCAGCGGGGGTGGAAAAAGCCTCAGATAAAGACATGATGGACCAGTGGGGAAACAAGCAGGCCTGCAGGTACTGGGGAGTCAGTAGCAGGATTCATGCTGACCACAGAGCATGGCCTCACAGGCTTAGAGGTGAATGCGGTGTTTCTGAGCCTTACCAGGTAGTGGGAGATGAGGGACTCCCACCTCACACATGCTAATGCAGTGAAGACGTGCACACATGCACACATGCAGAGCATCATGCTACACAAGTGTCAATAGCACTGCACACCTGCTACAAATAAGGGAGCTCACATACCTGGACTGACAGCGCCTCTCTGTGCTCCTTGCACTGTGCCATCACACCACTACCTTTAACCACGCCCTGCGTGCTCGTCTTTCAGATGTGTCTCTTCCACCAGGTGGACCTACTTCAGGATGAATGTCAAGAGGGCAGAAGATGCCATGGGCACCCTTGCGGTGTTCGGCACCGTGGTTGTGCCCTGTATTGAGGGTGCAGATGAAGAAGCTGCCCTGCAGTGTGAGGTCAGGCACCGGGGCCACATCATTTCCAGAGCTGAGCACTTCTAGGTAAAGGGCTTGGGCTCCAGAGCATATTCCTGGTCCTCCAACCTGATTTGAGATTGGGCCAATGAAGAGCTGTATGTTCAAAGCTCCAGCCAGGGACAGGAAGACCTATGTTTCCATGTGGTAAAACTCAATGCCAAGTCCTCAGGAAAACAAAAATAGCAGGGCAGTTGTGGTTTGTACCATCCAAAATCAGCAGATGCTGTTGACCTTTAGTCTGTGCTTTAGTGCCAAGGCTGTAAATGAGTTAATTTAATTAAGGGCATGTACCCGAGAGGGAACTGCACTTTGCAAAGCCTGAAAAAAATACAACAGAGATATACAGTGTCAACCAGCAAGGCAGGAAAAAAAACACCCCAGAGCCTCCCTGTACCCTAAACAGGTGGCACAATGTTATTACACTCAAACACCAAAGACAGTGGCAACACAAAAATAACCAATAATGCTAAGGCCAGGCCTCCCATGGTCAGGGGTGAAGCAGGGAAAGAGCAGATAGTGTGGGCCCACAGTGCTGATGGAGTTACTGGCTGGCTAGATGTAGGCAATGGCACTGTAGGACAGCCTAGTGTAATTTTTTTCCTTTCCCAGTTTTTGTGGGCTCAACTGTGTAATCTTCATGCTGTTTTTTCAAAGAGGGGATAATGGGAAGGAGACGACTTGTTCTCTGCAGGCTGAAACACAAGCTATTTGTGTAAGGAACACAGCTTTGTTACATGATTAGTGCAATGGGAGCCCCTAGGCACCACTTCCCAGTACAAACAACTAGTATTAATAACTCATGCTAAAGTTGCCTGCTATTTAATAACCTGGGCCTCTTTCCACCCCGAGAAGCACATAACTGCTTTGTGTTCCCACCATCTCTGCCTGTCTTCCCTCACTGGCTTCAGACTGTCTCTGTTCACCTCCCAGGAAAAAAAAGGAGCAGGTTTGGGCAAGGAAGAAGGAAGAACTGATGGTGTTTAACAGGAATCCCTGCACCCATTTCTGCCTGCATACGTACGACCTTGCCTGCCCCACTTTATGGGGTACTGCCCTTGCGTCTGATGTGAGGCTGCTCATTGCTGCCATGTCTTGCAGTCTTGGTCCTGTGTCACCCATGTTCTGGGGACAGAGTGACCTATTTCATGCCTTGCCAAGGAAGCAGCCGCCCTCCCTCCAAGCTGCCCCAACTGGCTGAGACGTGATAGACCAACACTGTTACTCATGGGTGGGAGGCCCATGTGAGTCACGCTTCCCTTCACCCCACATGCGGGGTGGCTGCAGCAGAAGAGCGGGGAGCAAGTGAGCAGGACTGCATTTCCTGCCCGGCTGTGCATGGCAGCAACACAGTTGGGCCCAGGCGGGAGCGAGAAGCAGTGGGTAGATCAGATGGTGATGAACCATAAACAGGATCGTTTCGCAGGGGCTGTCTGAGCTGCTCCAGCCTTTGCCAGCAGCACTAGGATGGCTGTCAGGTCTGCAAGGCAGTCTCTAAGCCACTCTGCTCTGCAGAAAAACATTACTAATGTTCCCACGACCAGAGCAAGACAGAAGAGACAAATAACTTGGACAGCACCATGAAACAGTGGCAAAAATCTGGAAGACAGAGGAGGAGAGAGGAAAAAAACAAGAGGGTGGAAAGCTCTATAATGACTGAAAAGAGCCCCAGATGGATACAAACCGAGAAAAGGCCAGAGACAGAAATAGTAGCACTAATTAGCTGAGCTGAACAACCTCATTCCTGCTGTACCTGAGCATCCTCTGCTGTCCTCAGAGCCCTGGTGCTGCCAGCCCCATGCTAGAGAGGAGGAGTGGGAGCAGGGAGCTGTTCAGACCTGGATGAACAGAAGTAATTAAGTTCCTATAGCAACACTTAGAGAAAAATCCCAAAGCGGAGGCACCTATAGGACTGGGTAGAGAAAGGGTTGTGGCTCCAGGCAGCATCCCCTGAGGGAGAACCATGAGAAATGTGTGCTTCCCCATCCTGAACATGGTTTCTGCTGCACCTTTACTGCTTGAAGACTTCCCATTTCCATTATGTGAGCAGCCAGCCCTCCCAAGCCATAGGAAAAACTCAATTTGCCTATTTTGTCTTGAGGCAGTTTTGCTTTGAAGAGCTACAGCACATCCCGCACTGCCAAAGCATTGTGGTAATATTTTCACTGGCAAAAAATTTTATTTGCCTAGAAGGCTTTTGCTGGGAAAGGGCAGATATGTCTCATTCCTGTCATTGCTGACCACTTCAACCTCCGGTCCACTGCTTTCAGTAAACTCCTTTGACTTTCTTTGGCTGTGGGACCCCACTCCATGACATTGCCTGAATATGGCTTTTTGGACAGAGCTTCAAAGATGAAATGGTCTGAGGTACCCCATCATCATCCTGCTGCAGAATCTGAACTTGAGCTCTCACTAGAAGGTTGCAGATATAAAAGAGGGTTAAAAAAACCCCAGCTCATACTGTGGGTGAAACAATTATCAGACACTGAACCCTCAGAGTTGTGGAGTTCACTGGAAAATAGGTACCTCTCAGAAGCTCTCTGAAGTGGCTGCACGTTAGGTTCTTTCTTGCCTGAGCTGAAAGTCTCCTCACCTGCACTGTGTCGCTCGCATTCGTCACTACCTGGTGGCACACCATCAGTGGGAAGAGGTCCCAGTGCCCATGGTAAGGCTGGGGACTGCCACAGCAGAAGTTGGAGGTTTGCAGGGCTGCAATAAGTGGCAAAGTGTGCTGCAGCATCTGTGGGTATTGGGGTTCGCTCCCTTCCAGCAACAGTAAATGTCAAGCTTCCCTTGTCAGCCATGCAGGGAGGAACAGCGCGGTTGGTCTCCCAAGGCTGCGCTCTCCTCCTCACATCACCCTTGGAGCAGGCAAGCTCCCGCTGCTGACCCAGACAGCAAGAGTTCTCCTTTGGACACCATTACTAGGGACACACTGTGCCACGCTTGTTTCTTTTATCGTAAGGAATTAAAGGAATTCATGTCACTTTGAAGTCTGCAGTGTGGTGTCCCAGCCCCTGCCCGCCATGTGGCCTCACTGCAGACTGGTACAGCATTAGCAAGCCCAGTGGCACAGCTCCTACACCTGCCCCATGTCCAATCCTTTCCTTGCCTTGGATGCCTCTCTCTGCCCTTTCCTCCTCTTCTCAAGTCTGGGCTGTAGCGCAGGGGAAACCAAAAATACCGCATGCTATTTTTTCCTCTCCTTGGCTGGTTCCTTGGAGATTGCTGCTGTTTTCTCCCAATTACAGAAAATACTTGAAGCTGTGCAGAGGCTCAGCCACACACACATGGAGGCAGCAATGTCTTTCTTAGCT